AACGTTTTCGGCGACAAACCTTTGAGGATCACAATCAAAGTGGTTAGGATGTGTCTGTAGTTTGAGTGTTTTTCTATGAATGCTCTGTGTGTGATTGTTCTTTGTGTGAGTGTTCTTTGTGAGAGTGTTTTTTGTGTGGGTGTTCTGTGTGTAAGTGTTCTCTGTGTGAGTGTTCTATGTATGAGTGTTCTGTGTATGAGTGTTCTCTGTGTGAGTGTTCTGTGTGTGAGTGTTCTGTGTGTGAGTGTTCTGTGTGTGAGTGTTCTGTGTTTGTGAGTTCTGTGTGTGAGTGTTCTGTGTGTTAGTGTTCTGTGTTTGTGAGTTCTGTGTGTGAGTGTTCTGTGTTTGTGAGTTCTGTGTGTGAGTGTTCTGTGTTTGTGAGTTCTGTGTGTGAGTGTTCTGTGTTTGTGAGTTATGTGTGTGAGTGTTCTGTGTTTGTGAGTTCTGTGTGTGAGTGTTCTGTGTGTTAGTGTTCTGCGTGTGAGTGTTCTGTGTGTGAGTGTTCTCTGTGTGAGTGTTCTGTGTTTGTGAGTTCTGTGTGTGAGTGTTCTGTGTGTTAGTGTTCTGTGTGTTAGTGTTCTGTGTGTGAGTGTTCTCTGTGTGAGTGTTCTGTGTTTGTGAGTTCTGTGTGTGAGTGTTCTGTGTGTGAGTGTTCTATGTGTGAATGTTCTGTGTGTGAGTGTTCTGTGTGTGAGTGTTCTCTGTGTGAGTGTTCTGTGTATGAGTGTTCTGTGTGTGAGTGTTCTGTGTATGAGTGTTCTGTGTGTGAGTGTTCTGTGTGTGAGTGTTCTGTGTGTGAGTGTTCTGTGTGTGAGTGTTCTGTGTATAAGTGTTCTGTGTGTGAGTGTTCTGTGTGTGAGTGTTCTGTGTATGAGTGTTCTGTGTGTGAGTGTTCTCTGTGTGAGTGTTCTGTGTGTGAGTGTTCTGTGTGTGAGTGTTCTCTGTGTGAGTGTTCTGTGTGTGAGTGTTCTGTGTATGAGTGTTCTGTGTGTGAGTGTTATCTGTGTGAGTGTTCTGTGTGTGAGTGTTCTGTGTGTGAGTGTTCTGTGTATGAGTGTTCTCTGTGTGAGTGTTCTGTGTGTGAGTGTTCTGTGTGTAATGGTTCTGCGTGTGAGTGTTCTCTGTCTGAGTGTTCGTGTGTGAGTGTTTTGTGTATGAGTGTTCTTTGTCTGAGTGTGTTGTGTGTGGTTGACGTGTGTGTGAGTGTTCTGTGTGTGAGTATTCTGTGTCTGAGTGTTCTGTGTGTGAGTGTTCTGTGTGTGAGTGTTCTGTGTTTGAGTGTTCTGTGTGTAAGTGTTCTGTGTGTGAGTGTCCTGTGTGTTAGTGTTCTGTGTGTGAGTGTCCTGTGTGTGAGTGTTCTGTGTGTGAGTGTTCTGTGTCTGAGTGTTCTGTGTTTGAGTGTTCTGTGTGTGAGTGTTCTGTGTGTGAGTGTCCTGTGTGTTAGTGTTCTGTGTGTGAGTGTTCTGTGTGTGAGTATTCTGTGTCTGAGTGTTCTGTGTTTGAGTGTTCTATGTGTGAGTGTTCTGTGTCTGAGTGTCATGTGTGTTAGTGTTCTGTGTGTGAGTGTCCTGTGTGTGAGTGTCCTGTGTGTGAGTGTTCTGTGTGTGAGTGTCCTGTGTGTGAGTGTCCTGTGTGTGAGTGTTCTGTGTGTGAGTGTTCTGTGTGTGAGTGTTCTGTGTTTACGTTTTCTGTGTCTGAGTGTCCTGTGTGTTAGTGTTCTGTGTGTAAGTGTTCTGTGTGTGAGTGTTCTGTGTCTGAGTGTCCTGTGTGTGAGTGTTCTGTGTGTGAGTGTTCTGTGTGTGAGTGTTCTGTGTCTGAGTGTTCGGTGTTTGAGTATTCTATGTGTGAGTGTTCTGTGTGTGAGTGTTCTGTGTCTGAGTGTCCTGTGTGTGAGTGTCCTGTGTGTGAGTGTTCTATGTGTATGTGTTCTGTGTCTGAGTGTTCTGTGTGTTAGTGTTCTGTGTGTTAGTGTTCTGTGTGTTAGTGTTCTGTGTGTGAGTGTTCTGTGTGTGAGTGTTCTGTGTCTGAGTGTTCTGTGTGTTAGTGTTCTGTGTGTGAGTGTTCTGTGTGTGAGTGTTCTGTGTGTGAGTGTTCTGTGTCTGAGTGTTCTGTGTGTTAGTGTTCTGTGTGTTAGTGTTCTGTGTGTTAGTGTTCTGTGTGTGAGTGTTCTGTGTGTGAGTGTTCTGTGTCTGAGTGTCCTGTGTGTGAGTGTTCTGTGTGTGAGTGTTTTGTGTGTGAGTGTTCTGTGTCTGAGTGTTCTGTGTGTTAGTGTTCTGTGTCTTGAGTGTTCTGTGTGTTAGTGTTCTGTGTGTGAGTGTTCTGTGTGTTAGTGTTCTGTGTCTGAGTGTTCTGTGTGTTAGTGTTCTGTGTGTGAGTGTTCTGTGTGTTAGTGTTCTGTGTGTTAGTGTTCTGTGTGTTAGTGTTCTGTGTGTGAGTGTTCTGTGTGTGAGTGTTCTGTGTGTTAGTGTTCTGTGTGTTAGTGTTCTGTGTGTGAGTGTTCTGTGTCTGAGTGTTCTGTGTGTGAGTGTTCTCTGTGTTAGTGTTCTGTGTGTTAGTGTTCTGTGTGTTAGTGTTCTGTGTGTTAGTGTTCTGTGTGTGAGTGTTCTGTGTGTGAGTGTTCTATGTGTTAGTGTTCTATGTGTGTTAGTGTTCTGTGTGTTAGTGTTCTGTGTGTGAGTGTTCTGTGTGTTAGTGTTCTGTGTGTGAGTGTTCTGTGTGTGAGTGTTCTATGTGTGAGTGTTCTGTGTGTAAGTGTTCTGTGTGTGAGTGTTCTGTGTCTGAGTGTCCTGTGTGTGAGTGTTCTATGTGTGGGTGTTCGGTGTTTAAGTATTCTGTGATTGAATATTCTGTTTGTGAGTGTTCTTTTGTCACGAGACGATTTTGTCAAATCGTCTTAAATAGGGCCTCCTCTAGTAATAAAAGACACTCTGAAATGATATATTGTTGTGATGGCGGCTCGTATTGGTCTAGGCGGTACTCGGCAGGTCCAACAGCCACCCATCACCACTTCAGGGATGAGGAAACTCAAGCATTTGACTCCACAGAATTTCCAAAGATATTCCTGGGCACAACTTGACCGGACTTCCTTACCACTTAATAGCCCCCAGACTGGATAGGATACCTATCACAGTGAAAATAAAAATACAGTATCAACAGAAATCTGATATAAACCCAATGCACACAGATACTTAATTGAAGGGAACTGAGAAATACCAGATACTAACAAAAGTAAGTTCTGATTAACAATGCAAGATTTAATCAGTTTCAACAGTATTATAAATCTCAGTGAACTGAAACAAGGGACTGGTAGTAAAAGGACCCAAATAATGTGTTTCTCAGTGCACTGAAACGGAGAAAGGACTAATAGTAGATAGAACATGACACAAATTACATGTTAGTCAAGAATGACTAGAGGCCTGACATAAAGTCGCTGATCAATTGCATCGCTGCCATGATGACGTATTAAGGTAATAGTAAGCTCGTGACACGAACTGACGGGTTGATTATACTTCCTAGAATTATTTACTTACCATCAGTTGTTGAGAATGACTGATCAGCTCCTCTTTAAGTCGATTTCTGCGTCAGAATTCAACAGGCACAAATCTACAGTTTTCTGACATGATAAACTGTCCTCTACTAAAAGATTATCCTGGTAGTATAGGCTGGTAGCCGTTGGTAGTTGCAAAACTTTTTGCTAGGCACACCGTGTGATGATGTGGTGGCTTTAGCTGTCTTGTAAGGAGTGACCCATCATGTTACGTCTCCCAGAGTTATTCAGGTCACGGAAAGACAGAAAGTGTGATTGATGACTGGTCCTATGTGTTGGTAGATGGGGTGATTGCTGGCAGTATACTCGTGGATCTCTTTCACTTTGATCCTGGCTTAATTTAGCGCTGTCACTTTCTCATAGCTCATACATCCAATACTCTCTTGAAGTTCCCAAGTAAAAAGGGTGACTTTCGAGGTAAATAAACATGTAAGTTGACAGAAAAGGTGTTAGAGCATTTGCTAACTTCGGGATCTGCGTCTAGAATGACTTTACAATTTCAAACTCTCCCGAGCAAGAAGCGGGAAGGATTCCTTCCGCCAAACAATCGTTAGTTCGGCCTTAGAAAAAAGCTTCTCTATTAATGGAAATCACTTAGGTGTTAGTGAATTCATATTATAACTTACTCCTAATACATTTAGGAATAAACGAAGTTTCTTTACCTACATCCTGACCCATACCTGTGGAGGAATAGTCCATTTTTGAGTACAGACCATTTGTATAGAGTTGTACAGAATGTGGGCGTACCTACAAGCAGAGGTGTGTTCTGACTGGTTACGTAACATCTGTTTGTTAATGTTCTGTGGGGGAGTGTTCTGTGTTTGAGTGTTCCGTGTTTGAGTGTTCTTATTTGATTATTCTATATTCGAGTGTTCTATGTTTGAATGTTCTATATTTGAATGTTCTGTGTTTGAAATTTTTGTTTTAGTATGCAAGAATAATCGGGTTATTCACATATTTAATTTCCTAATTTTAAATCACATTTCTAGAGTTTAAAAAAAAAGAGGATGAAAGAGAAGAAAATTTCATAACTCATTCACAAAAGAATGTCCTATATCGACCACAGTAGTAAAATGAGTGTTCACTTAAAACCCATTCGATCATAATCATGTGTTAAGTGCTGACCGATGAAATAATTCACCTGCTTATCGTCCCATGGTGCGCAAATTATGTATCTTACCGTTGAGAAAATGGTCGGGTTGATCCAGAATCCGTTCAAAGAATCTCAAATAACGGTGACTCCGTTTCTGTCATTTGTATGATGTCGATGACTGGTTTTATACACACATGTAATGGTTATCCTGGTAGTATAGGCTGGTAGCCGTTGGTAGTTGCAAAACCCTTTTGCTAGGCACACCGCGTGATGACTCTAATTTAATTTATGCTATATTCTATTGTTATACTCACATGGAAGTGTGTATGACTGCACTTCATGCTAATTTTCACCTTGCAGGAGACGCCTTTTGTCATGAAGAGAGTGGACAAGGGGTTCGACGATGATCATCATCTGGAGTATGAGGGATTTCTGATTGATGTTCTTCTGGAAATAGTCAAGTTGTTGGACTTCACATTCATCATTTCCCCGGTATGATTAGATAACCTTTTGTGACACAGTTGTATCTCCAGGCTCCCCAAGTTTTAAGCATGCCCAACGGACAAGTGATCAGATAGCGTTCTTGTGTCTATCTTATGTTTATCAACACAGCCAGGTATAAAAAAAATCAGTTGAAAATAAATTGTTTTATTTAGCAATCTAATGTCAATTTAAGCAGAACGTTATGTTTCCTTAAAAAAAAAAAATAAACAAAACATTTTTTTAGCCATAGTTTTTTTATTTTATTTCATTTATTTCCCGCATCACATCTAAAAAAAAAAAAAATACTTAGAGATCTGTATACTCTCCTCGTTGTTATTTGTGTGTAGTTTGAACAAAGGCTGCCCGGCCGAAATGTTACATTATTTGTGTTGTTTTGTGCAGTTTTTCTGCTTCCCCAGTTTTTGAGCTTTTTAGTCAAATTTCTCTGGAACTCCTTGTATTAGCTTGACTGCAGTCACCCCCCATATTTTCTTTCTCTAAACAAAAGTATAAACATTTCAGTATAGTGTTGCTGGCTATTCACATATGACGATAAGCCTTACAAAAAAAAAAAAAAAAAAACCCCAATTTAACCGTCCGAAACAAGTTAGAAATAATAGACTGGGAACAACACCATGAAGCAAATGTTGCTTAGCTAGTAAAAGCTGCGGGCCATGCGCCTTGCTTTGGCTGACCGTCCAGAAAGCAATGGCAAACTAATGGACGTAAACTTGCATAAAGAAACCACACAACAGCCAGGGGTTGCTGAGGTTGGTTCTGCAACGTCCTGTAAAAGATACGCAACTAACCTAGTAAAAGTACAGCCAGAACAACTACCAACACAGGCGCTACGAATGGAAGGATCTGAAATGAAAGCAAGAGGTCGACCTAGGATAAAATAGACTGATGACATTAATGAGCTTCTACACTGGCACGGAATGACAATAACCAATCCTGCCCATCAAGCAATGGATCGCAAACTGTAGCTCCACACAACGCTTAACAGCAAACGTGGAAGTTTATGATGATGGTGATGGTGATGATGTAATCTCCCTCTGTGATTTGCTTATAATTATGTCGTCTTCACTGCTCGGATTAGAGTTTCTAAGAATTATGTAATTGCGGCGTCCGTGGCTTAGGCGATGCGAGTCCGACTCGTAAATCTAACATACCGTGATCGAAACCCACTGCTGGCTGCGTGCATTTTTATCATAGTATTGGGCGGCGCCGGTCGACCCAGCTTAAAATGGGTACCAGGATGGGATGTCCTGTGCAAGTAAAAACGGCCGGCGTAATGCTGACCACATTACCCACCCAGTGCCAATTGGTCTGGAAAAATATGGGTGCTCTTCCCATATGCCTAAGGCGTGGAACGGGAACTTTACTTTTACTTATGAAATTCCCCCCTGTGAGCTGCTTACAGCTAAGGAATTTCCATCTTGAGGCCGCCTACAAATATGGCCACCAATAGAAGTCGGACTTAATAAGAGCTATAGAAACTCTCTCTATAAGTTGCTTAGGATTATAATCTCCTGCAGAGGTCAGGGTTACTTAACACTATGGAATCTCTTTCTAGGGGCCAGGGCTGGATAGAACAATATAGTTTAATTTTAGGGAGTAAGTTACTAAGAGAGGAGTGGCTGGCCGAACGATTAAAACGCTGGGGTTTTAAGCGGGAGACCCGGGTTCAAATCCTAGGTAAGGCTGATGATTTTTTTTTCTGTGAAAGGCAAAATAAAATCCACACCTGCACAGTCGTGGCGACAGCACTAGCCATGCGGCCGTAAATCCTCAGACTCAAAGACCTCGCTCACCTTTACGGCGAAACAAAAAGTTGTATCACAAAGGCAGTAATTGGCAGTTGGCAGTTACTAAGAAATAGAAAGTTTTCCACGAAGCGTCAGAGTTGCTGGCGACATTTGTCTCTATCATAGGTGTCAGGGTGGCGTAACTGCTTGGTTTAATTTTTAATGAACACTTTCATTGCACCTACAGTTATCTATAATCACCCCAGTCTCGTCCAAATGAGGCCATGGCTAGATTCTTTAAACATAATACACAAATATGTCACGCTTGCGACCATCCAAAAGTGTTTACACCAGAAACACACAGGTTTTAAGTGTACATGTGTTGTTGTTGTTGTTGCTGCATCAGCGACTTTGTCGTCCACTGGCTCACCGGTAGACGACTTCGTCGACGGCGAGACAGAATTTAGGTCTTTCTCCTTTTATGGCATCAGCACTGCATGAGTCATTTCCGGGGCTTTCGGTGGCGTTCGGTGTTAAGCCACTTTATAAGGCGCACACAACTTAGTCACAATTATAATCTAAAGCTCCTCATTCAGTGTTAAGCTATTTTATAAGGCGCACACAACCTAGTCACAATTATAATCTAAAGCTCCCCTTTCAGTGTTAAGCCACGTTATAAGGCGCACACAACTTAGTCACAATTATAATCTGAAGCTCCCCTTTCAGTGTTAAGCCACTTTATAAGGCGCACATAACTTAGTCACAATTATAACCTAAAGCTCCCCCTTCAGTGTTAAGCCACTTTATAAGGCGCACACAACTTAGTCACAATTATAACCTAAAGCTCCCCCTTCAGTGTTAAGCCACTTTATAAGGCGCACACAACTTAGTGACAATTATAATCTGAAGCACCCCTTTCAGTGTTAAGTCACTTTATAAGGCGCACATAACTTAGTCACAATTATTCTTCTTCTTCTTTCGTTCGCATGAAATAAATTGTCTATATCTGCAAAGCCGTCTCTTGTATGAATTTCACTGTCTTTTGTAATTCACTAAGCGGCCCGTAAAGTTTGACTTCCACAAGTGTCTCTTTTGGCCAAATATTTTGCCTGAAAGCGTTGAATATGGGACAGTCTTGAAGGATGTGATCTGTTGTTTTAGGTGCCAGTCCACAAGTACACATGGCCGATTGGCCAATCTTAAATTTGTTGTACATGTGGGAGCGAAGTCTATTGTGCCCTGTTCTAAGGCGAAGGATAATAACTTGCTCTGGTCTGTCCATAATATGGTAATCATCTTGTGCCAGTTTCGGTGGCATTCTGATTGATTTGATCATTCTCTTCTTCTGTTGATAAAGTCACAATTATAATCTGAAGCTCCCCTTTTCAGGGATTTTTTCCCCTAGCAAAGCAGCTACCTACCTGCTGTTGTTGTTCAGTGTGTGGATAATTTGTCTAATTTGGAAATATCTGACTGATTTAATTTTGGCTGCCAGCCACCCATGGTTTTAACGAGGTCAAAGTATAAATGATTTAAAGATAAAATTATCGCCTCTATACAGGTTCCAGACGGCAAGTTTGGCAGTCTTAAAGGAAAGCAATGGACGGGTATGATCAGGCAGCTTGTCCATAAGGCAAGTTAGTTTATTGCTATATCTTCGTTGTATATTGCTCTGTTCTCAGTTCTTTATTTGCTGTGTCTCTGTTGTTTGTTGCATTGTTATGTGTTGTATATTGCTATGTTATATATTGTTTATGCTTGTCAATGCTGTTGACGATGACCGCAAATTACCGTACAGATGGCAGCTTAACTTGACAAGGCTTCGAGCTAAAACAAAAACTAAAACAACTACAATTATGGACCTTTTTTTTTGCTGACGACTGCACTCGAAACGACAGCTCTGTGGCCAGTATACAGTACACCATGAATAGAATTTCCGAAGCCTGTACCAACTTCGGGCTCACTACGGACACTGATAAAACTGTTGTTATCTATCAATCGGCTGCCAGAAAAAATTACTGTGATCCCACTATCACCGTAAATGATCAAAGACTAAGTGCAGTCGACAGAGTCACCTATCTTGGCAGTACCTTACCTCAGAAAGTCAACATCGACGTCGAGATTACCGCTAGAATCTCAAAGTAATTCTTACAGTACTGCTTTATGCTTGCGAACTGTGGACTGTGAATCAGCGTCATGCTAAAAGGTTGAATCACTTTCATATAACTTATGTAAGAAAGCTGCTCAAAATCAAATGGCAAGATCCCAAATACTGAGGTTCTTGATAGAGCAAACCGGCCTAGCATCAACACGATGCTGAAGAATTATCAGTTGCGTTAGGCTGCTCACCTAGCTCGCATGCCAGACTATCGCCTCCCAAAGAGAGAATATAATGGGGAGCTCCAGCAAGGGAAAAGGTTCCAGGGAGGACAGAAAAAGACCTATAAAGACTCATATCTGCTCTCAATTCTTTTGGCATCAATACAGCGACGTGGGAGGTTGCTGCACAAGACCGTTCTGGATGGCGTACATCCCTCAGGCATGGTGCATCGGCCTACCAGACAGCGGAGGTTGCATAGTCAGAGAAACAGAGGCAGACTATAAGAACCGTTTGCTGATCCAACGCTGAATGTTGCTTCCACCTGTTGTCCGCACTGCTCAAGAACTTTCCAAGCTTATATTACACTAATCAGCCACTTTCGTCATGGATCATTACTACTTTCGATGAAAGGTTGTCTTCATCACTTTGTGATGGACGACAAGAACATTGTTTATTGCTATGTTCTCCTTGTATTTTGCTATGTTCTCCTTGTATTATGCTATGTTCTCCTTGTATTTTGCTATGTTCTGTGTTGTATATCGGTGTGTTATATATTGTTTATTGCTATGTTGTCTGTTGTATAATGCTATGTTCTCTGTTGTTTATTGCTCTGCTCTCAGTTCTTTATTGCTGTGGTCTCTGTTGTTTTGTTGCTATGTTATATATTGTATTTTGCTATGTTATCTATTTTTGTATGCCATGTTCCTTTGTTTTTTGCTTTGTTCTCTGTTGTATATTGCCTTGTTATATATTCTTTATGGATATGTTATTTGTTGTATATTGCTATTTTCTATGTTGTATGTTGCTCCGTTCTCAGTTCTTTATTGTTGTGGTTTATATTGTTTGTTGCTATGTTATCTGTTGTATATTTCTATGTTCTCCTTGTTTATTGCTATGTTCTCATTGTTTTTTGTTGTTGCTGTTATCTGTTATATATTGCTATGTTATGTATTGTTTATTGCTATGTTCTTTGTTGTATATTGCTCTGTTCTCAGTTCTTTATTGCTGTGGTCTCTGTTGTTTTGTTGCTATGTTATCTGCTGTATATTGCTATGTTATATATTGTTTTTTGTGTTGCTATTTTATCTGTTGTACATTGCTATGTTATATATTGTCTATTGCTATGTTCTCCTTTTTTATTGCTATGTTCTCTGTTGTATATTGCACTGCTCTTAGTTCTTTATTCCTATTGTCTCTGTTGTTTGTTATCTGTTCTTTATTGCTATGTTATAAATTGTTATTACTATGATCTCCTTGTTTATTGCAATGTTCTCTGTTGTTTACTCTCTGTTCTCTGTTCCTTGCTGTTTACTGCTTTGTCATAATTTGTCCACTGCCATTTTTATTGTTGTTTATCTCTATTCCCTATGTTGTATATTGCTCTTTACTCTGTTCTTTATTCCTATGTTCTCTGTTATTTATTGTTATTTTCTCTATTGTTTATTCCTATATTTTGTTTATAGCTGGGTCGACCTGGGATCAAATATAATTTTTGAAACAAAAATTTGACTTGATTTATATTTGAACCGAATACCTTCAGACCAAAGGCGAGCGTCTAGCCACTACACCACAGTAGGTTCCTTATTCATATATTTTTTCAAATAGTATTAAATGTACTAATATTTTTTTAGCATCGGTTATATTATTATTATTCATTATTTTCAATAAACTGTAGGCATTTCAACGTATCTTAGACTCAAAGGCCTCCAGGAGTTAGCGCCCCAAGTCACATCTTCATTTTTGTTACTCATTGAAGCTACTTTTCCGACGTAAAAAAAATATATTGCTTTCAGGAAGCGGATATCGCCCTAGCTCCATTCCAGATGACCACAGACAGAGCAGAAGTGGTGGACTTCACAAAACCATTTATGACCAAAGGGACAACGGTAGTGGTCAGACGACCCGAGCCTAAAATATGGATGTTTCAGTTCCTATCACCGTTTTCTAACGTAAGTAAAGAATACTTCTACACCAATGGCGCATATGTAGGCAGGTAATTTCTCCTCTGAAAATATGCAGCCTGGAAATATCTCAGCGTTGCCTCACTGTCCTTGTCTCGCATCCCCATTTGCTTCAGGACATCGTTTGCGGTTCTTAAACTGTCTACCAGATCACTGTCTTTCTCGAACTTATAGAAGTGCTGATCTTGGACTCACATGATAGACTGTGCTGGAGGAGTATTAACTGGCGAGCAGTCAAGGTGTAAAGTGTCTGGCTTTAGCCGAGTCTTTGGGATCGGTCCTAGGTATCCGGCAAAGCCACTTAGTTCTACCATTAGCTCCCAATCCCCGGCATAGTCGAGTAGAGCGGGCAGGGATGTAGCCATGTTAAAATTAGAATTTGTCCTCAGCCCAGCCTTGGGGAAATGCATGAAGAGGCGCGTCAGAGGTCTAGCCCGTTTGTCGGCTTCATCTTAATTTTGCCCACAATGTTGATCACCCCCACCCCTCCACCTACAAAACCCTGTTGTGCATCCACGTCAACCAACACTGACCTACTGTTTTCTCGCACGCAGGTAGATCATGCCCAAGTATCTAATCCAGTGTCCACACAGTCTGATATATTCAAGATTTTTTCATGTATAGGCGATTTGAAATCGATGAACTGGATTTAAGAGTCCGAGGATTCACAATAAATCACATTTTATATTATATTATATTACATTATTTTATGTTATAATATGTTATATTATATTATATTATATTATATTATATTATATTATATTATATTATATTATATTATATTATATTATATTATATTATATTATATTATATTATATTATATTATATTATATTATATTAAATTATATTATATTATATTATATTATATTATATTATATTATATTATATTATATTATATTATATTATATTATATTATATTATATTATATTATATTATATTATATTATATTATATCTATTGTAATGTACTGTTCCCTACTCTACTGTACTGTACTTTATTATATTGTATTATAATTCTATTTGACTACACAGACTGTTTGGTGCGCGATTTTCGTGGCTTTCATCAGTGCCAGCTTGACGTTGTTCACCGTGAGCCGGGTCAACTCAGACCGACATGCCAGGTCCACCCAGAACTTGAGAGAGAGCTTCTGGTACATGTGGGGCACCCTTCTCAGGGGAAGCCTGTGCGGCAGGTAGGTCCACAGTGTTTCCATCAGGACTGTACACATAGTGAAAGTGGGGTTTTGGGGGGTGGGGGGGGGGGGGGGAGGGACAAAACAGCAAAGGCCAGTGTGGAGTGGAAAAGGGGGGGGGGGGAGGACGGCAAAATAGCAAAGGCCAAACAACCAAACAACTGTGAACGAGGCTAAATAAGTTTACTACTTTTGCCATGGAGACCAGGTGGTGGAAAAAGGGAACTGGGGAGGGGGGGGGGGGGAATGAGCCTGAGGATCTTGGGCCGTATAGTAATGCAGTCGTCGGGGACTGTACAAACAGGAAAATACACTCTATAATATTACTGAGGATTTGAACTCTGATTTTTCAAAATGTCTTCTTTGACCAGTACGAGTGTTCCTGTAAGTATCGCTTTTAGAGCTACAAAATCCCTTGATTTATTTCCTCGCTCTCCTGCCGCACGCGTATAAGCTAAACTAATTTAATCTAAAGAGCATTTTATGTACACGCACTTTTGTAGCACACAGGAAAGGTAAGTAGATTCTTATCTTTTTTAAAGTGGGGCCGCATTAGCGCAGTCAATAGGAGACTCACTTTCAAATCCAGCTTCAATTCGCTGTTTTTTGGGGCCGGTGTTCGAAACCGGGCGGTTCCCAGGGGTTCACGCAGCTTCTAGCTAACGCTCTGGGGTAAATGGAGGAACGTCGCTGTAGCTACAGAGTTACGTGCAGACAGCGACACAGGCGGACAGTTTCTTATCAGCTGTCCGTACTAGTTGCAGAGTATTAATGGTTTATAACCGTGTGCAATGACTCTGGTTCATATCTCCCGACTTAAACTTTACCTTTACTTTGAAGCGAAAAGCAGCAGCTAGTAATTAATAGCGAAAACAAGATTAAAAAAAGCATTACTAAAATATTTCGTAGTCTTTGAATGCAGATAAAGCTACTTGTAATGGATTACTTATGACCTGTCTTCTTCGATAACGATTCTAACTTATTTTCTTTATTCATGGTGAATTTAAACTAATTTTCTTCTTTCACAAGAAAATTGAATTTATTTTCTTCGCTCATAAATCATAACATGTTTTTTTTTCGTTCTTAAAAATTGTAACCTTTTTTTTTTTACTATCGTTCATAACTAATCTTTACCTGATTTGATTTAATGAGATGAAATTATTTGAAGACTATCATTCCTTCGTTACTTTACCTTAGATTGTTTCTAAATCTGTGGATGTCTCATTATACGTCGTTTTACTAATGTTCATTTTCAGTTTAAATATATTATCCTATACACACACGCTCACGCACACACACACACATACACACATACATTTATACATATACAACAGAACATAAGTAAACCTTGTGTGTGCACAACTGTTGCAGTCCCCACGCCATCTCGTCACGCATCATCTCCTCGGCCTGGTGGTTCTTCTGCCTGATCCTTTCCTCCGTCTACACGGCCAACCTGGCAGCTTTTCTCACCATCACCATCAGCGATGTCAACATCAACACTGCCCAGGACTTGGCCCTCCAGGTAACACCAGCTCAGCATTCCTATTCTTTACTAGTTGCTCTCTCGGTTCAATATGGTGGAGAGACAGGCTGACAGTTGTATAGCCCTTTTAAAAAGTCGGACCCTTATTTTCCGCTCTGTAAAGGACGAAATTGTTTGTTATTTGAAGCCCCACCCTGGCTTTTGCCAGAAGCCTCAGTATAGACAGGCCATAAATATGGCCAATTGTCTGAACGCGGTTTTTGGGACCTCTCCACGGCGACACTCATCCACATGGTGGCACTTTGTGTCATCGGGTATTTATCGCTTGTGTGATGTCCTAGTGGGGTAGAAAGTCAGTCAGTCAGTAGTCGGACCCTCAAACTTGTACAAAAAATTTGAAAACGTCTGTACGGATCAACAGGAATTTGTGCAAGTCGTCTTGGATTTCCCAAGTCCTTACAATTTCATAATTTACAATTCCACAGGTGCTGCTGTTATCTTGTAGCGGCGAATTTCTTTAATCTTTGTCAAACTAATAATTTAGGGAGCCCTAAAAAAAAAATTAATAATTGTCAAACATCATGTACTTTTTATGAACCAGTCAACAGACATTATGGCAGTACATGACGTATTCATTTCACTGTCAAATACTTTGGCTTTAGGTTGTCCCAGGGATTACCGCCAAATCTCATGAAGTTGGATGTTTTGCAAACTTCACATCAAGCCAATTGTGTGATCTGAGTCACTGTCTGCTTTTTTGATATACCACAAGTCAGGGAGAATAAAAACAAAATTTCTGTTTACATTATAATTATTTTCCTACAAGGACATGATTATTAACAGGTTGCAAGCCGAATGTTCCAAAATTTACACTGTTCGGTTAGTGTAACAGATTGTTAAAGTTGGGCACGACTTTTGGAACTGACTATAGTTTTGAAAAATTATTTGTTTTTAGCCACGGTTAGCTGCTGCATAATCTTCCTTATGTGCACTGAAAGTATATGCAGTGATTGCTGAGCACTGAAATTGTATACATTAATTGCTGAGCACTAAAATTATGTACAGTAACTGCTCAGCACTGAAATTATGCACAGTAATTGCTGAGCACTGAAAGTATACACAGTAACTGCTGAGAACTGAAAGTATATACAGTAACTGCTTAGCACTGAAAGTATATACAGTAACTGCTTAGCACTAACAGTATATACAGTAATTGCTGAGCATGTAGATCTAGACTGTACTCAGGTGGGTCGCCGCAAAGAAATCAGTGGGAAGAAAAGAGGTGGTGGTGGTTGAGGGGATGGGTGGGTGGGTCGGGGGAGTTTTTTAAAATAATTTTTTAAAAGAGCGGAGGACGTGGGATCCATGGGTTTACTCTCTGTTTAACTGCAAAATAAGTATTATTGTGTTTTTAATGGCAAAAATAGATGATCACATATTTGAAAGGGGCTTATACCTTCTTTAATTGTGTAATAATAATAACAACAATAACACAATCATACTAAAAATAATAATGTTATTGAAAACATTGCACCAGGACCACTACGACTACGGGACGGTGGAGGGCTCACAGACTGCCACATTTTTCAACCACACGCGCATGACGTTCTACTCCAGGATGTGGGTACACATGTCAGTCCTCTCCCCCAGCTCCATGTCCAGGGACACCATTGTCGGGTTTGAGTAAGTAGACTCCTCCCTTGACGTGTGACCGTTTTCTAATGTCTTCTTTTTCTTTCTCAAGTCCATGTCGTGTGGCGTTGGTTGCCATGCCTATTCACGACCATCCATCTCGTGTACTTTCTATCAACTCTGACACACGTGATTCTCCATCCCGTGATGTCAAACTGTCAAGAATCTTTTATCTCGGTCTCCCTCTGCCTCTCCTCCCCTCCAACTTTCCTACTGTCACGACGTACTCCAGTTTTTCTCCTTCTCCTCGCATAACCAAAGAATGTCGATTGTCTCATTTTGAAGTGGGCAGTCAGTTCTCTTCGTGAGTCAGTTTCTTTCAGGACATGTTAATCACACTTTTTATCTGTCCAGGGCATTCTCATTATTCGTCTTTATTCGTCACATCTCTGCAGCTTTTAAATAAGTTTTACTTACTCACCAACTGTCCACGATTCACTTCCGTATATCAGGATTGGATTTATATAGCTTTTAAGAATCATTTCCCTCGTCTCAATTGACAAAGAAAGATTTCTAATGCAGGAATACTTTTAAGGGAAAAAAATTAATAAGTAAAGGTCCCTTTTCCACGCCTTCAGGTGTATTAGGCACATAGGGCTAGACCTATATTTTATAGACCATTCAGCTCTTTGTGGGTGATGGGGGTCAACATCACGCCGGCCGCCTTTACTTTCCTGGACTGTACCTGGTACCCATTTAAGGCTGGGTCGATCTGGGAGAATGTAGGGAGTACTTGTTGAAAATGCTTTTAGGTGTGTTTATGTAAACAAACGGACGGAAGGACAGACGGGATGAAAGGATAGATGCATTAACCAGCAGATAAGATGTTTAAAATGCACTTTGTAGGTGAGTAGATAAACCAATTGACGAGATGAATAGAAAATAAACATCCACACATGAGAACCAGCAGCAGCAGATGGAGAAGAAGAAGAAAAAGAAGAAGAAGAAGAAGAAAAAGAAGAAGAAGAAGAAGAAGAAGAAGAAGAAGAAGAAGAAAAGGAAGAAGAAGAAGAAGAAAAAAGAAGAAGAAGAAGAAAAAAAAGAAGAAGAAGAAGAAGAAAAAGAAGATCAAAAAGAAGAAGAAGAAGAATAAAGAAGAAGAAGACAGAAGAAGAAGAGAAGAAGAAGAAGAAGAGAAGAAGAAGAAGAAGAAGAAGAAGAAGAAAAGAAGAAGAAGAAGAAGAAGAAGAAGAAGAAGAAGAAGAAGAAGAAGAAGAAGAAGAAGAAGAAGAAGAAGAAGAAGAAGAAGAAGAAGAAGAAGAAGAAGAAGAAGAAAAAGAAAAAGAAGAAGAAGAAGAAGAAGAAGAAGAAGAAGAAGAAGAAGAAGAAGAAGAAGAAGAAGAAGAAGAAGAAGAAGAAAAGGAAGAAGAAGAAGAAGAAGAAAGATGGGGGAGGATGAGAGGAAGAATAAGAAGGAGAAGAAGAAGAAGATTATTATTATGACGGGGAGGAGCTCAAGCAGAGAGATAGTGTGTGTGTGTGTGTGTATGTGTGTGCTTGCGCGCGTGCGCGCGTGTGTGTAAAATAGATATAAAACTTTGTGTTTTTCCAATAGTTCTTGTCATTTCTTTGTTTATCACACAATCTCTTCTAGTTTTGTTCACGACTTTTCTAATTTCGCAGGTGGTTGTTTTCTTTCATGTTCTTTAGTCAATGTCTAAGTCTGATACTGACCTGCCAAGCCTGATTTAGCACGGACAATTAGAGAAAGCGTTATTGGTGCAAAGAGAGTAAATTAATCTGTCTTGTGAAATAGATAGTCATGTAATGAGAAAAGGAACAGTGGAACATATCGTGTCGACAGGAAAGATCTCTGGTAGAAGAG